TTGTTCGAGAAAAGATTTTTGCTAGCGAAGTCATAACTAGTTTTGTACCCTCTAATGATCAATTAGTATATATATTTACTAAGTTTTTAAGGGGTCCTCGAATAGAGTATATATGTAACAAGCTTGGTACTTATGATTTATATGCTCTAACTTGAGGGAGAGTGTTGGAAATAATATTATAAGTATATATTTTTCTTAATAATATTTAGGTTAAGTCCCATTAGGTCTCTATATATTATATATACCTGTACCTATTCAATACACAAATTATTTCATAATTCTTTTCAACATATACCATAAACGAAAAATTAGGGAAAGAGGGAAATAGAGACTAGAGATGTTTTTACACATGCTTTACATCCTTCCACGATTTTTTTTATCCATGGCAAGCTGGGCCGATGTGATATATCCACGCGTGAGCTAATAGTTACACCTAAGGGGGTGTTTGGTAGATGGTTTTTAAGGGGATAGATGGGTAAGTAACGATGGGGAGTTTAGATTGACCTGTTTGGTAGAGGACTCTCACAAATAATACAAGGCATTGTCTTTCCCCATGAAAAACTGAAATCAGTATGAAATGGTCTCCAAATCACTGTTTTGGAAGACCACCTTCGAGGTGGTATCCGGAGAAAACTAGGAAGTGATATTTTAGGCGCCAAATTTGTTATGCATTTGCCCCTCTCCAGATACCTCTCTCCTCTAATACCTGTGGTTCGTATTGTCTAGTTGGTCGAGACAGATGGAAATGTGCGTTGTGCTCTTCTCTCCTAAATAGATCCTTGGAAATGCACTCGTAAGAGAAATTAATTCAACTCACCAACAATTTTATGCATGCAAACATAACACAAGTCTTGAACCTTGATAGATAGGTATCAGAGATCAATCCGCCAAGGAGTGATAGTAAAAATGCAGTTCCCGAATAGTTGGTCAGGGTTGTAGCAGATTTGTTAAGCTAAAATTCATGTAACCAAAGAAATAAGTTACAAGGCTCACTGTGTTGGCAACGAAGGCCATGTTCTCTAGCCCTTCCATAGCTGCATGCACAAATTGGAATTTCAATTTATTAGAGTAACACAACAAAATGCTTTCCACACATAAAAGGGAACAAGGCAGAAGAAGGAGTGGGAATTTTAAAAGCTGTTACCGTATATAAAAAGTGCAGCTCTGTTTCCTCCTACCCTTCTTTGTAGCCTTAGTTGGGTACTCATATTTCTGCAGATTCCCTGGTGTGTGATAAAAAAAATCAATCAACCAAATGACCGACACACAGAAACACATAAATGAAGAACGGAAAAAGAACGTTGGAGAATCACGTGTCCAACGTCTCTTTGCCGTCGTGTCTATTTCAATATTGAGGGGTATTTTTGAAATTTTGTCATATTTCCCCATCAATCTTTTACTTTCAACCAAACATAGTCTCATTAAATTCACTTCAAGAAAAAATCTTATTAGTGACAAATTTTTGTGAAATTTCGTCACAAATTCCTACGTTGCAAGTAAATTTCGTCACAAATGCCTGCGTCGCAAGTTTATTTGTGACGAAATTTGATTATTTGTGTCAAAAATTGTCATTTGTGACAAAATTTATGACAATTTTTCGTCACAAATAAACTTTTTTCTTGTAGTGATTTTACACAATTTTTCTGGTAATATTTCGGTCTACCAAATAACATTTTTAAAAATTTTCCACTTATTTTAGTTTACAATCATTTCTCCACTAATTATATTTACCTAGTTAAAAAAAAAAATTCCTCTGCCAAACGCTCCTTAAAAATAATTAGATAGCTTTCGGATTTTCTATTTTTGTAATTATGTTGTACGGTTGTCAGCACAATCGGATTTGTTTTTTTTTTTTTTTTGGACATTACAGGAAATCGAACCGCACACCTAATACACCCTAAACACACCCAACACCACTAAGCTATCCCTAGTGGTGCGGATTTGTTTTCAATACAGCAGAGTCGCCTTCCTCTCCCTTTTTTTTGGTGGAGACATAGGGAAATAACCCTCTCTTTCTTTGAGCTCACGTGTAACATCAGTGTATATATATACTAACAGTACTGCCCTTGTATCTTTTGAACACATAATATCAAATATCAGATTTTTCCATTTGATAAGAAATCGAAGTCTCGACAAAAATCTTATGGAAAAAATATGTGTGATTTTAAATGACATAAATGACACAATTTCATAGTCATAAAGAAATGTGACCATATATTTTTTTGTTTTTAATTTTTTTGTTGGGATCAACACCTTTTTTATGTTTATGAAATTATACATATTTTTTTAATTTTTATATATTAAATTGTGGATCCCATGAACATTCACTTCTCCATAACGAATGACGCCCTGGAAAAGCCAATTTTTTTTATTTTTTTTTGGATAACATGAAAAGCCAAATTATTATTATTATTAATTTATTGATCACTTGAGAGATGGCTTCTATAGGTTTGACAATAAAGGCGTATAATAAGAGAATCAAACTTACTTGGGACTGAAAAGAAATAAAGAAAAAGTAGGGAGACTTCGAGTTATTATTATTTATTTATTTTTGAGTTAACCTAATCCTAATTATGTTTTTTTAGGCGAGTTGATTCCTACGATATTCCTACAAGTTTCGACACTTTGAGCCGATTATGAGAGTAATCTAAAAAGTAGGGAGACTTTGAGTTATTATTATTTATTTAATTTTGAGTTAACATAATCTTAATTATTATTTTTAGGCGAATTGATTCCTGTAATATTCTTACAAGTTTCGACACTTTGAGCCGATTATGAGAGTAATCTAAAGTGTGAGGCGGGTCAAGAATGAAAATATTTAAATCCCTCTCAAATTAAGGTGGCATGTATAGATTAAACCGAAACCCTTTTCTTTTTGTAGAGATCCCTTACTATCAACTCAGCTATACCATTTGGTTCGAGTTGTTATTCTTTGGCAACAGTATCCAACCGGACTGCGCTTTGCTTATTCAGATCAATGTACGAATAGTGATATAGAAATTCTACAAAAGTTGTCATTGGTCTTGAACAAAAGTTAAAGTTGATGATCTTCAACCTGAGTGTATAAACCTTACTATTGCATTCGAATTCGCTATAGATAGTAACAGGACTTCTGTGAGTTACACGAAACAGATGCCCTAACAGATCACGGTTTTAGCTGTAGTATAATTAAATTGTACTCAATGGATGGTGGAGAATTGATCAATCATAGACCTATTTTAAAAGAAACATCGTTTTCCAAATTATATATTACTTATATATGTACACCACCTATCCGTGACTGTGAGTCTTTATGAGTAACTAGTTTAACCAACTACTTCTTGGTGCATATATATAAATAAATTAGTGTAATATTCTTAAGAAAATAATGCGCCAATTAACCCTCATTATGTACCATATCCGTCAATCAAAGTAAGTGAAGGTTACCTTCTGTCCCCATCAAGAATGAGTAGTTGAATGGACTACTGGAGTTACCAATTACTAATTAGTTAGGGATGAAATAACATTTTCCTATAAATTAATAGTTCTTTCTGATACCCAAGTAGCACTGTCAAGATTACAATCCGTTTACTACAATACTTTTTCTTTTCTTTTCTCAATGTTATTTGCCCAACTAAAACAGTATCTGAAAAAGATTGAAATTGGCAACAACAAATTTTTTTTTTTTTCCAGAATTCTGTTTTTCTTTTGGAAAGTAATTAACGGAGCACATGGATAGAGGGGGAAACAAGGTTTGGAGGGAAACTGAAAGTAGAGATTATATATAGCCGCAACAAGTACAAATGTTTAAGAAGGAGTAGGTTGGTAAGGGACCTCCGACTATACTATAAGTAAATTAAGACAAAACAAAAATAATATACTTTTAAGGGAACAAAACAGTTGTCTGGTTCCAGGAATCCTATTGATGAATTTAGAATAGGTTAACCAGCAGAATAGAGCAAGACGCACAGTACAAACATTACAACGGAGATGTAAAAAAGTCTCAAGAAGGGACGAGGATGATTGGATAAGTTCAAGTCGCTGTAATTCATTTAGATTAGCCAAGCAAACTTTACTTTATAAAAAGGAAAGCAAGGAGCTTCGGTGCATGGAATCAAAACCAGGTATGGCTCAAAATTCAGTAGGTTTAATATGAAAGAGAGAGAGGTTTAGATACAAAGCTCGGGGAACGTTTTGTCTCGGTTATTGTTGCCTTTTAATGAAAGTGAGGATAACTGCCTCGAAAAGGAGCTTTGATCAGACAGTGCATGCGTGAACCAGTTGCCAAACATACATGTTTATCTTCTAATACGCATGGAAAAATACAAAAGAAATTAATGTCGACATAGACTCATACACAATCTCTAATCTAATATCTAAGGCCGCTACGCTGTTCCCGAACGTAACTGGTTTGTCTAGAAGCCCCTACCATATATAACTAACCCTTGCTCAAACTGAAACAACAAAAATATATTTATTTATTTTTGGATAAATTTAATGGGATCAATCCCGTTCGAGTTCGAAACATGAAAATATTTTAGTCATATATATATTTACGTTATCTTCATAAACCGCGACATAAATTGTTGTTTTGTTGCTAAAAAACTAAAACATGATAGAGCTTGTAATTATGAGACGACCACAAAAGCACGCATTATTCTTCTCATATAATAACAGAATCAAACTCACCAAAGATATTCATCAATTTAATCACAGTCTCGAAAACAGGAAAACATATATCACCTAATCATAAAAAAAAAGGACACACAAATTCTAAAGAAGCATAGAACTTCAAATCGTACTTTCAACATCCCTAATTATTTGAAGGGTTCGGCACAACAAAAGCTCACATGTGTAAATTTCACATGAAGTAGTCATGTATAAATAAATTTTATGTCTATATCTCTCTTCATGAGAGAAATAGACCCAAAATTTTCACATGATTAGGTCATGTGAGATTTACAAATGATGAGTGAAGAGAGTGCGGAACTTACAGTGATATTAATTGATGTATCATCAAATCATCCCATGTATGGAAGGTTATTTGGCCAGTGTGCATTGGAAGGCATCTCAATAGAATTGAGAAGATTAGGAGGCAAACCATGAAAAAGAGGAGCAGTTGCATCCCCTAAAAGCTGTGATTGCTGATGCTGATGATGATGACCAACACCACTTCCACTAGGAGATCCAATTGAACCACCATGAGGTGGAAGCTGCGAAGGGTCCTCATCTTCCAAAGGTAACCTCTCATAAGCAGCGTTGCTGAATGAAGAAGCCATGATAACCACAGACCCTGAAGCAACAAGTGTGCCAACAACACTTCCACCTACCACCTGTCCTTGACCACCAGCTAAATATATAGTCAAACCGGAAGTAGCCGGTGGAGCCGGTGGAGGAAGGAATGATCCAGAAAGGGACAAGATCTCGAACCTTCCATGAAGAGTAACAACAGCACCGGAAGTAGCCGGTTGCCTCAAAGTCACATTAGTGACGGTGCCAGTGCCACTCATGATGCAAACCCCTCTTTGGCGCCGCCTCGCGAAGTTGGAAACGCTTTCCACGATGTCACAACCATCTGCTACCTCCATCACGTGGGTTCTTAAAGCATTTGCACTGTCACGAGTTATGATAATTGGTGGCTTCGGTTTGTTCTTTGATCCAGCTGGTCTTCCTCGAGGTCTTCTTGTTATCTCACCTTCGCTACCATTGTTGTTGTTGTTGTTGTTGTTTTCTTCCCTTTCCCTTTTCTGCACAAGGTTTAGGCCTCCACTGCTTCCGCTATGCTCATCTTCTAAAGTGTGGAATTGATGTTGGTGAGGATGGAGATCTCTTGTTGTGTGGAAAGGAGGGGGAAGAGAGTGCCCTGGATCCATTATATTATAGTAATAATAATCTCTAGTTGAGGAAGTCTTAACTCTTAAACTTCATTTTGCATATGCAGGAAAAATATAAATGAATTTGACAATATTCTAATATGTAAATGAAACTACTTGCGGACTTGATGAAACTGGAAGCAAATTATAAAGGGCACAAATAAGATATGACCAGTTATTCTCTCTGATATCTTCTTGCTGATTTCTTAAAGATCTTGTTGATTTGATGAGTCAAAGTGGTAGTAGCACCTTCCAAAGTTGAAACTGATCATGAAATTAAGGAAAAGAAGATATGAGATTGAAATTGGTGTAAGACTCTCCATCGGGTTAAAAGTGAGCTGAATTGACTTTTCCTTCAACCTTCATACACACGCATTCGTCTAGGGGGTTTTCAATCGTGAAGGCTGTGTAAATTGAAGTTCCTTTTCATGAGAGATTGCAAGAGTGAAGAGAGAAAAAGAGGAGAGTAGGTTGCAGGTTGATTCTCTTGTTTTAGGAAGTAGTGTTAGATTAGGGTTAGATTGAGGAAACTGATAGAGAATATATTTGGTTGCAATAAGACTGTGTTTATGGGCGGTGGATGAGTCCCCACGACTCTGTTTTTTCCTCTCTTTGAGAACAGCATACATATAGAAATATTTAATACTAACGCTACAAAAACAAAACAATTTTATTTTATTTTATTTTTTTTATGTTCTTGAACACATTTAGAATAAGTTACTCCCCATTCAAAATATAAGTCGTTTTAAAGTAAAAAATTTATTTCATTTTATTAGTCATTTTCCAAAATTAATGAAGCATTAATTTTATTTTTAATTTCATCATCATTGTCTCTTGCTCTCTTTACTAAGTAAAACAATAGAAAGCACAAGTTAAATGAGAGGGTAATCTAATTAAATGTAGATATATTTTGCTGAAACTAAAAGTATTGAAGTAGTTTCTTAATCTTTATACAAAAATCTTATATAATGATATTTACCTCTGCAATATATAACTTAATTAATGCTCCTAACTAAATTCCAAGTAATTAGCATTAAAAAGTTTCAGTTTGATAAGTTAATATAAAGTTATTTTATGATCACTGAAATACTGAATCATCCATAATTACATCATTAAAATAGTATGACTTTTGAAATAGCTGCAGTCTAGGTTAAACTTTTTTAATGACATTACATTATATATACGAATAAGTGATGTATTCAAAGATATTGCACTGAAAAAATTAACTATAAAAAAGGACGATTGAATGATAATTAAGGTTTAAATGAAAAGAAAAGAAAAAGGCAGAAATAAGTCTTGAAAATTAATGTTGTGATGATACAATACCTTTACTTAATATTCTTAATAGGAGTAATTTTCTATGGGAAAACTGATATCGTGCACAACTAGTAGAAGTGCTTATCAATATATATAAGCACTTTCTTTGGCAAAACTCAGATGGACATATATTAATCATTTTATGTCAAATTAAAAAACTGCAAAAAGATAGCTAGCTGATATTGATCAACAAAGCAAGGTAGATTTTGAACTTAAGATCTTCTAAAATCTGTCGAATTTAGGAATAGATCCTCTGATGTATTTAAAATTTAGTTTCATTTAATTTACATGACATAGAATATCAAGTTTTGAACTTCAAAGTACTTTTCTTAGGTCGTTTCCTGAGAATATCCACAATACAAACGGGAATTTCGGTGGCATATGACAGACTTGTTTAACAATAGCCAATAGCTGGCACAATTAAAACTTAACTGGAGCAGTGTGCATCGATAGAGGGAGACCGTAAGGGTATTTGTGCTTCAATTTTCCATGACCCACCACATGCAAACTTAGGTCTTCTGCAAATTCTATATATATATATATATCTTCTCAAAGTCTAACCTTAAATTTGAGGTCCACCTCGTAAGAGCATGACACGTGTGTCTTCACGGGCTTCTTTCGCGTCTATTCTGCTGCACTTCAATTCGTCTTTACTTTCCTGGACTCTACTCAACTCTATTACTTAATTAGCCAAAGTATCAATCATGCCAAGCATGATTCATGCCTTGCTATAGCATTCGTTTAATTTTTTTTATTTTTTTTTCCCCGTCTTATCGTTAACTTATAGCTGGAATAGGATCCAAGAAGGTTGATGCATGTATATCTGTAATAATTAAACATAAATACAACAATCATGAATAAAAAAAAAAAAAAAAAAACAATAAAATATATAGGAAGTTAACAGATTTTAAGAAACAGCTAGTTCTGGAAAGTGTGTGCGTTTTAAGGGATGGCAGCAAGCACATATAAGTGGATATAATGGATTAAGAACCAAAGTCTACAGTATTACAGGGTGTAATTAAGGTTGGTGGAGAGCACGGGGTTGGCCGCATATTACAGAGTGTTGGAGTGAGAGACAGAGAGAAAGACGCGTGGTTGGCGCTGACAGGCAGAGAACACAGATATATAAAGACAGTGGAAAGCAACACAATGCTGAACAAGCGCCGGAGAGTTTGCTGAAACTGAAACTGAAACTCATATTTAAAAAAAGAGCACAAAAGTCCAGCGAAGCTATATATATAGTTGCTCTTCACAACTCACATAACTAACAACTCTTGCTGTGCGTAAATAAAAACCATGCATCCAAAGATGCTCTTTGTCGGCCTCTGCAGTCTGCTCCATATCCAAAGTATTCTTTAACCAAGTTCATGGTGGACCCCCCCTTTTCCTTTTCCTTTCCCTTTCTTTCTGTGTGTGTAACTGTGTCAGATTCATTAAATCCATAAAGACGCATGCCTTCCTAGCTCGTCCCTATCCTGAACCCATACTTAGGGAGACAATGATCATGTGAATTGTGAAGCTACTGTCCATAATTAACTCCTTCTAGAATCTTGTGTGTAATAAAACTTTAGCAGTAACTTAAAGAGAAAATTGTGAAGAATATGCTGGTATGAATAATTGAGTTAAAACACTATTATCTGATGATCATGATGAAATCAGTGTTTTTCTATGTAAAATGTTGATTAAAACACTCTAAATTAACCTTGGATCGAGCTTTCTTGATTTGTTTTGATTAATGTTTACTTTTTATATTTTGAGTGCTTTTGATAGAGTTAGAATAATATTTTTACATCTTATATTACATTTTGATTTTGACTAAGTTCCCCGTAATGTTTCAAGAGACAGAATCTTTTGACACCAGTGTCAAATTTGAAATTTGACACCTCATCTGAGAGGACTTTAATTTGTAAGAATGTGACACCATTGATCTTTTTTGATCTAATGGCTCTCAGATGAGCAAATGAGGTGTCAAACTTCAAATTTAACACTGGTGTCAAAAGATCTTACCTCATATTTCAATGTAAGTAATTAATCTTGGAGTTGGGGGCAATTGGTGACTCCGTCCCTGCCAATAGCTTAGTTAGGGTTTTCGACCTCCACGACAAGTAGCACTCCACCATCATCTACGAGAGCTCTAAGCCGAACATGTTGCTCTTCCGGTACAAACAAGAGTACCCTTTATAGATGACAATGTGAAGTTTATACTGCTAGATATTAATTTGCTTCCTTATGCTTTTTCAAGAGATATGTGAGAAAAATCATTAGAGAAATATAATATAAAACGATAAAAGACCTATCATATAACAGTTTGAGTGGGTAACATGATTACTTATCAAAGCTAAGTAATTACGGAATCACAAATTCGTTCCTGATTATCTCACTTTCTAGTGAAATTAAGTCAGTATAAGATAAAAAAAAAAATAGCACGAGCAATATCCACCTTTCAATCCAAAGAGTTTTTGCATAAAGAATATTAGAAAGATAATAATATAAAATCATTAAAAATCCATCACTTAACTATTTTGGCCATTGGGTGAGATGGTTGCTATTAAAAAACGAACCAAGAATGTATCAAAAATAAAATAAAATAGAATCAAATCTCGCTAAAACATAGCTTGGAGGAGTTCTCAATGGGGTTGACCCGCTTGCAAGAGAAAAAGCTATTGGACGAAGCCTACGCGTGCCTAAGGAGAGGATGCCTTGTGCAAAACTAAGCCTTACGGCACACGTTAATAAAACTTATGTTTAATATAATTAATGCAACACAAATATCTGTGACAAAAAGTAATTGGGTATTGGAAATGAAGTTCCACGGTAAATGCACTCACGATCCAATTTGCATGCTCCAGCTTTCTCGCAGAACAAAGAGCCCTTTATTTCAGGTTTAAGGCCGTCCCCCTCTAACTATTCTTTTCGAGGGATGACCAACAGAAACCTTATCACATGAGGATGATTAATGATTAATTAATAATCATTGTCGTAGTGTGTACAATATTTTTTATTCATTAATGAACGTTAGATTCTAAGCGAAGGCAACAAATTTTTGTGTACACGTGAATGGATGCTGATTGGAATAATTTCTTGGCCGTCACTTGAATTAATTGTAACCCGAGATACCATTTTTTGCGTGTTATCTAGTTAAGTAGTATCTAATTAAAAAAAATGTATTAAAAGTTGTGGTTTAGAAATATTATTTCAATTTCAAAATATCGGCTTTTTGACCTTTTTATTCCTTATTAATTAAAAAATAACCATTTTACCCTCCTCCCAAAACTATACATCAATTTACCACTATTTAATCGATTACACCAACTATTTAATCAATTACATTAGAACTATTGATTTAATCGATTACACCAGTTAAAAATTCATATTCAAGCTTCGTCTTTTATTCCAACCCAGAAAGGAACGGAACATCCTTAAAACACTTACAACATCGAACACTTCCCAGCAACGCTCTCTGTTTGGTCTCAATTTTTGCAAGTGTCTTTTTTTTATCATTATTTTCTGCAATGTGTTTCGATACGAAGTCAACTTGTATTGTTTCATATATAATGAATAGTGAAACAGTACAAGTTGGCTTCGCATCGAAACACATTACAGAAAACAATGATAAAAAAAAGCACTTGCAAAAATTAAGACCGAACGGAGAGCGTTGCTGGGAAGTGAATTCGATGTTATAA